TATGTTAAAAATACATTTAAATTAACATAAAATATTAATTAATCAATAAATTTTGATTTTTTTAATAAAATTTTGTATCCTAAATTATAAAGTCACAAAAAACCTTACATTTTGTATAGAAATTTTAAGAAAAAAAATTAAAAATGAATATGCAATATTTTCATCCAGAATACCCACCAGTCTTTGGAATAGAGAAAGAAATTTTGGGGTTTTAAAGATGATAGAGGTTGATGAGATAAGTATTGTTTCATGAAGAGCAACTTAAGGTTGGAAACAAAAATTAACAAAAAAAACTGGCTTGCAAAAAATTTGAACATGACAATTATTATCATGCCTCTACAGTTATCTTCTCTGTCTTATTGTATATGTGTTTTGGAATAATGAGTACTATTATACATTCAGTACAGTAAATGAAACTTACTTGATATTTTTCAGCATATTTTCAATAAATGTCTCAAGTGGCAACTGCCAACTTCATTTCACAGAGTACAATGATGAACTATGTTTTGTTGTACTCTCTCAAAGAGTGCTTGTTCTCTTCTGATAGTATCAAACACTGAAATGATAGGCAGATAGTTCTTCTTTTGTTTCCTCTGGTGTTTCATACTATGAATCTCCAGAGGAAGAAATTAGGAGATATTAAATCCAAATTTTCTGAAGGATGTAGCTCTGTCAATTTCTGTTTATGTCCCTAAATTGTTTCATAAAAAATAATCATCTCATCAACCTCTACTATGTACCATCCTTGCATTTATGACACATCAAACATCAACACACTGTATTTAGAATGGTCCTTTTATAATGTCCTTAATAAACTTTAGAATTTCAAATGTGACTCCTATATTTTTTCTATTTTTGAATTCTCAATTAAAAAACCAATAGTTGTTCCATCTCCTTACAGGGGACAGGTGGCTTAACTTTTAGGGAATTGAAAGGCCCATTGAAAATAACTTATATATATATATAAACTGAGATATATTACTTTTATTCTGATCAATTTTTTAATTAGAAGATATTTGCCAGGAACATTGAAATTAAACCACCCTGTATATAGAATTTGTGATGTGATTTATATTCTGCCAATTAAGTCTATCATTTGCTCTCCAGCAAACTAAAAATGCTGCTATTGTTTTTCTCTCAGTTCAAAGTTTTAATTAAAAATTTCAAGTAATTACATGATATTTTGATTTAAAGGATTGTCATAACTTGCATATATTCTGAGAGTAATTNAAAAATATTATAATTACTTTCTTAAAATTTTAGTGAAAACTTTTAAATTAAATTGTTTTACTTAGACCTTTTTACAAATTATCTATTTAAATAATGTTTAACATCTTATTATCTATATTTTAAAAAAAATACAAACTTAAGATGTTATGGAAACTATTTGTAGATAAGGATGATTGTGAGAAATGTGTTGCGGTATTGCATGAACTTGAAAACATTGATGATGAAGCTGATGGTCACGATATTGGTTTTGTAAAAATTTCTGATGAAGATCTTGCAGAAGAGTATGGCTTAGATGATTTACCTTCTCTTGTTTATTACAGGAAGAAAATCCCAATACTTTATCAAGGTAAAATAATTTTTTAATATTAAAAAAAAAATTACAACAATTTTTATAAGTTTTATTCTTGTTATGTAAGATTGTTTAAATACTTTAAAATAGTTTGTTTTATTCTGTGATGATTGCATTTTTTTTCAGTTGTAATCTTATTATCTTTAAATAATTTTTTAAAAATAATATTATGTAAATATGTTAAATTTCTCACCTGTCTGTGGCAATGATTTGTGTTATATGTCCTTTGTATTTTTATTTTTCTAACAAATAAACGGCTGTGGTGTGGTGTCTCTATCAAGCCTGCCACTGTTTGGATCAGCATGACTTTGAAATGGATCAAAGTAGTCGTGTATGATTTATACTTACTATATATACTTACTTATAAGGTATCCTAGTCTCCATCTGTAAATGCATAAGTGATATATTTAACAAAATAGATTTCAAGGTCATAGAGAAAGTTGAATGAAATTGCTTGTTTTGGAATTATTATCAACAGAAAAAAATTTTGGACACAAAGATCTCATCTTCAGAGGCTATTCAACAAAATGATTATACAGAAAATCCTCGTTAGTCTGAAATTCAAGGGACAAAATAATTTCGATTTTGAATTATCCAAGATTTCCATATTTCTGCACACAATGCCAAATACCATTTATCTGTTGTATTAGTAATTTATTAAGTAAATGGAGTACGGCTAAGTATACAGAACACTATTTTCATTAATTAATAATTTATAATAATAATATAAATAAACTGCAGGTAAACAGCACATGTCTGGTGAGAACCTCACAGGTCACCAGATAGGTTTTGTGAAAAATAAAGCAGAATTCATAGAAATGTAGCCTGAATTATTTTTAAAGTTACCCCAAAAAGTAGTAAGTTGCCCAAAAACGTAGTAGCCTAGGCCCTACAAATCTCAATCTGCTACCCAATTGTTGCTTAATTTTGCAATCCCAAGAACCAGCCGTATTTTATCAGATAAGAGTAAAAAGGGTAGTTCTTGAGTAAGATGAGACCCAAAAATGTATTACTGTACAAGCGAAGCCATATTGACCAGATTAGAGTTGTTCTAAGTTTATTGTTCTCTTATTGTATGGAGGCACTTTGATCTAAACAAATGAGTTAACATACTCATATTATGGTTTAGACAGAATTTTCACTTCCAATTTCAAAGTAGCCATATTTTGAACTAACTGATTTGCTTAACATGTATATATCTATATCCCTGGCTGGTACAAAAATACAGTTATGAACTAACGGGACTTTGAACTATCTGAGTTTGATTTCCTTTATTTAAAATAAATTCTTAAATTTTTATAAGAAAATGAGAAAATTTACTAATTTCTTAAAAAGAAAGAAAAGACTTGAATTCTTATTAATATGAGCAATTGGACCCTTCAATTTTTTGCAATATAATTATTATATTTTTCGAAATATTTATCGAAGTACAATCTTTTTATATGTTTTGTTTTGTTCACTTTAATACAGGAGATCTTATGAATGAAGAAGAGGTTTTGCAGTGGTTATTTGAATTTCAAGATATAGGGGATGATGATGATTTAATTGAAGATGTAACAGCAAATGCCTTAGAAGCTTTGGTTCAGAAATCGTCACATTTAGCAGTTTTATTTTGTATGTACTAAATATTTCATTTACTTTTTAAAATTAGACTGAAGAATTAAAATTATACTGTATTTTGAATTTTAAATAAATTTTAACAGAATTTTTAGTAATACAGTAGAGCATTGATTATCCGACCCCCAATTAACTATCACCTTGGTTAACCAACCGCGTTCTAGTAGGCAAATTCAAATGCCCGCTAGTGATGTGGCACAACAATATTCAGCTATGTCTTGGCTACTTTAATATTATTTTTACGTGTTTTAGCTGGCAACACTGGCTCGACCATGAAAGGGAGCCAGTATTTAAATGAGGTTTAATTTTCTAATTTTTAACGATACAATAGCAACAATTATTATTTTAAAAAATTTTTGTTAGGCTTAACATCGATGAAAATTCAACGCGAAGTAGGTTAATAGCAATATACTAATTACATGGGATATACTAATATACTATACTAATGATTTATTTTTTCATATTTTTCGGTTATCCGTTTTTTCAGTTATCCGACCAACCCCAGTCTCCAATTGAGTCGGATAATCGATGCTCTACTGTAGTTATTTTTGATCAAGCTTCTTGATCAATCAATATTTTAAGAAGAAAGACCTGCTTTAGTTTATTTTGAGAAGACACTGCCAAATTTTTATCAAGGTTTCCATACTGTAGTTATTTTTGATCAAGAAGCTTGATCAAAAATAACTACAGTATGGAAAAAAGCTTCTATTGAAGAATTGAAGAATTTTAAAATTATGAAACAAATCTTCAACTGAATATAACAGAATTATTCTGTTTTAAAGACAATTATTCTAAAATAATAGGTGAAAATTTTGCAAAACTTTATTTTCAAGTTATTATGTTTTGTTAGGTTACACAAAAAAATATAAATAATTTATATTTTGTATGTTTGAGATTACATGTTCTAATATCAGGCTAGAGCTGGCCAGATAGCCGAGGCAGTTAAGGCATCAGTCTACCACTCTGGAGATCCAGAATGGAATCCAGGCAATCAAGAAACTTCTGGAATTTTTTAGGGGTGATCTGTCAGATAAGTTAGATTTCATCCCTCACTACCTGGCTGCTTCACTGTGGACCTTGCCAAACTTACAATGGGCTTGAAAAAAAAGGCTCTCTTGGTGCCCACAGGGTGAAAAGAGTAAAAAAAATATTAGACTATACATTTTTTAAAAATACTTTTCTGAAAAAGAGAATAAACATTCTCAAAAATATTAATAATCCTTCTTTTTGACTTAATTATAGGCTATATTAGAATAATTATCATACTTGCTAATTATTTTAATATAGTCTATCTAATAATAGACTATATTAAAATAGTTTTTAATATATTTATGAATTTTATATATAAAATTATAACACAAATAAAGCTTTTTTTGTATAAATTTATCATTATTATTTTTGTGCTATAAATACATTGAACTATTTTAAAGATTTAGTAATAACATTCTATTTTTAATTTTATCCAATTTTATTCTGTATTTTAATAACATAGAAATATATTAAGTTTTGAAAGAAAAAATTTTAAATTATATAATTTATTCAGATGATGGTGATAGTAAAAGAAGTATGAAAGTTTTGGATCAATTAGAAAATATTGATGATGAAGCAAAAAAAGATGGTATCACTTTTGTCAAAACTGATAGTGAAAGGGCTTGTGAAGATTATGGTATAGAAGAAAGACCTGCTTTAGTTTATTTTGAGAAGACACTGCCAAATTTTTATCAAGGTTTCAAATATTTAATTTTATATCTTTTTAAGAAATTTTGTAATTACACAATCTATATAATTTTATTTTATTATAATAAGGAAGCTTTGCAAAAGTAAATTCAATTCAAATTGTTTTTCTTGGAACAAAAACTTTTTAAAAAATCTGAAGTGCTTTCATGCTAGACATATCAATTAGAGAATAAATATTTTACTTCTCTTATTTATATTTTATTTCTCTAGTTGACTTTTAAGCTCTAATTTATGTAGTTCTCTGAGAAAATCAATTTGAATTTAATAAAGATAAATATTAATAAGGATTGAGTTTTATAAATAAGAGATTTTTGTTTGTTCTATTTCATTAATTTATAGTTTTATTTACTGCAGTTATTACTTTATTATAGCTATTAATTATTGTTAACTTTGTTTTTAAATTAATAACAGTAATTTGCATTAGTTAATTATTAGTGATAATTTATTGCAAATATTACTATTTAGTTATTTTTATTATATGATCTGCTGCTTACTAAAATTGTTATGAAAGAATTACACTGTAAAATAAAAGTTTTATATGAAATTTTTGTTATATTGATTTCTATAAAACTTAAATAGAATTACAGTTATTTATTTGTTAACTTTAATTTTTTATAGCAAACTGGTTAATTTTAAGAATCATTTTTATTAAATTTAAATTGAATTTCAATAGTCTCTAGGTAGAATTGAGCTTTGTAAATATTGATTTTGATAAAAATACTGTGTTATTGATACACACACATATAAACTTTAAAGCTTTTATATATTGTCTTATAAGCTAGATAACGAAATTATAAAATGTTGGAGAATTTTTGGATAGACATTAAAAGAGAAAATTGAAAATTAATATTATTATATCCATCTTTATTTTCATATTCCTCATATTCAAATGAAAAATAATTTAAACTAAAACAACTGTAAAATGTATATCAAAGCAAAATTTGAAAATGTGGAATTCATATGGTCAAATGCTGTTTTAACATATGTTTTAAAACTTCTAATTTTTATTCTATCTACTGGAAAATGATGATATAATAAAAATAACAGAATTTCCAATAGAGTGCTTCTGTGCATGTATCATGTTTAACAATTCAGAATCATTCACCCAAATTTTGATTGTGCGCAACAGGCCCTACCAATTTTGTTTATGAGTAAGTTCCTAAACTCAATGTATTTAAAGTTCTTTAGTTGAACATTTCTAAAGTTAAGTTGCTCTTACAGTGCGTTAAATCAGTTTTGCATTGAGCACAATTAAATTTTTCTCCATTGAAAGGTGTTGAAACTGTTGAGAGTGACATACCAATAACCGAGCCTGATCAATCATCAGTATTTTAAATTGATATGTTATTGACATAATATAATAAAGTTATGTATGAAATTGCTGCATAATGATATAATTATTATTTTTTAATTAAATGTCAAAGATAATTTTAATTTGTCAAATGTAATTGAAATTTTATTTTATTGGAATGTCATCAATCAGTGGAATTTTGACGAAGTGTTCCTAAATCTTGGCAACAATGCTTATTTTTAATTAAGGCACTTTAAAAGATTTATTGAGTTTAGGAATTCATGGTATTTTTGTCTTTTCTCCAAAGTACCAAATTCCAAGCTTTGTTTATAATACTAGCAGGCACTTAGAGCAATCACACTGATAATATATTCATGATGTAACCTGTATGAAATTCCTTTTATGGATTGTATTTGATTTCATTACAGTTAAATATTTTTAAGAATCAGTACATGTTAATAAAACAAAAAATTATTTTAAATTAATTGCATTGATTGGCTATGTGTGAGATGGATATTTAGGATAAAAAATATATAGAATGTAAAAATGTTTTGATTAAAAAATTACTTTAAAAAATTAAAGAAAATTTTTTAAAGTAATTTTTTAATCAAAACATTTTTACATTCTATATATTTTTTATCCTAAATATCCATCTCACACATAGCCAATCAATGCAATTAATTTAAAATAATTTTTTGTTTTATTAACATGTACTGATTCTTAAAAATATTTAACTGTAATGAAATCAAATACAATCCATAAAAGGAATTTCATACAGGTTACATCATGAATATATTATCAGTGTGATTGCTCTAAGTGCCTGCTAGTATTATAAACAAAGCTTGGAATTTGGTACTTTGGAGAAAAGACAAAAATACCATGAATTCCTAAACTCAATAAATCTTTTAAAGTGCCTTAATTAAAAATAAGCATTGTTGCCAAGATTTAGGAACACTTCGTCAAAATTCCACTGATTGATGACATTCCAATAAAATAAAATTTCAATTACATTTGACAAATTAAAATTATCTTTGACATTTAATTAAAAAATAATAATTATATCATTATGCAGCAATTTCATACATAACTTTATTATATTATGTCAATAACATATCAATTTAAAATACTGATGATTGATCAGGCTCGGTTATTGGTATGTCACTCTCAACAGTTTCAACACCTTTCAATGGAGAAAAATTTAATTGTGCTCAATGCAAAACTGATTTAACGCACTGTAAGAGCAACTTAACTTTAGAAATGTTCAACTAAAGAACTTTAAATACATTGAGTTTAGGAACTTACTCATAAACAAAATTGGTAGGGCCTGTTGCGCACAATCAAAATTTGGGTGAATGATTCTGAATTGTTAAACATGATACATGCACAGAAGCACTCTATTGGAAATTCTGTTATTTTTATTATATCATCATTTTCCAGTAGATAGAATAAAAATTAGAAGTTTTAAAACATATGTTAAAACAGCATTTGACCATATGAATTCCACATTTTCAAATTTTGCTTTGATATACATTTTACAGTTGTTTTAGTTTAAATTATTTTTCATTTGAATATGAGGAATATGAAAATAAAGATGGATATAATAATATTAATTTTCAATTTTCTCTTTTAATGTCTATCCAAAAATTCTCCAACATTTTATAATTTCGTTATCTAGCTTATAAGACAATATATAAAAGCTTTAAAGTTTATATGTGTGTGTATCAATAACACAGTATTTTTATCAAAATCAATATTTACAAAGCTCAATTCTACCTAGAGACTATTGAAATTCAATTTAAATTTAATAAAAATGATTCTTAAAATTAACCAGTTTGCTATAAAAAATTAAAGTTAACAAATAAATAACTGTAATTCTATTTAAGTTTTATAGAAATCAATATAACAAAAATTTCATATAAAACTTTTATTTTACAGTGTAATTCTTTCATAACAATTTTAGTAAGCAGCAGATCATATAATAAAAATAACTAAATAGTAATATTTGCAATAAATTATCACTAATAATTAACTAATGCAAATTACTGTTATTAATTTAAAAACAAAGTTAACAATAATTAATAGCTATAATAAAGTAATAACTGCAGTAAATAAAACTATAAATTAATGAAATAGAACAAACAAAAATCTCTTATTTATAAAACTCAATCCTTATTAATATTTATCTTTATTAAATTCAAATTGATTTTCTCAGAGAACTACATAAATTAGAGCTTAAAAGTCAACTAGAGAAATAAAATATAAATAAGAGAAGTAAAATATTTATTCTCTAATTGATATGTCTAGCATGAAAGCACTTCAGATTTTTTAAAAAGTTTTTGTTCCAAGAAAAACAATTTGAATTGAATTTACTTTTGCAAAGCTTCCTTATTATAATAAAATAAAATTATATAGATTGTGTAATTACAAAATTTCTTAAAAAGATATAAAATTAAATATTTGAAACCTTGATAAAAATTTGGCAGTGTCTTCTCAAAATAAACTAAAGCAGGTCTTTCTTCTATACCATAATCTTCACAAGCCCTTTCACTATCAGTTTTGACAAAAGTGATACCATCTTTTTTTGCTTCATCATCAATATTTTCTAATTGATCCAAAACTTTCATACTTCTTTTACTATCACCATCATCTGAATAAATTATATAATTTAAAATTTTTTCTTTCAAAACTTAATATATTTCTATGTTATTAAAATACAGAATAAAATTGGATAAAATTAAAAATAGAATGTTATTACTAAATCTTTAAAATAGTTCAATGTATTTATAGCACAAAAATAATAATGATAAATTTATACAAAAAAAGCTTTATTTGTGTTATAATTTTATATATAAAATTCATAAATATATTAAAAACTATTTTAATATAGTCTATTATTAGATAGACTATATTAAAATAATTAGCAAGTATGATAATTATTCTAATATAGCCTATAATTAAGTCAAAAAGAAGGATTATTAATATTTTTGAGAATGTTTATTCTCTTTTTCAGAAAAGTATTTTTAAAAAATGTATAGTCTAATATTTTTTTTACTCTTTTCACCCTGTGGGCACCAAGAGAGCCTTTTTTTTCAAGCCCATTGTAAGTTTGGCAAGGTCCACAGTGAAGCAGCCAGGTAGTGAGGGATGAAATCTAACTTATCTGACAGATCACCCCTAAAAAATTCCAGAAGTTTCTTGATTGCCTGGATTCCATTCTGGATCTCCAGAGTGGTAGACTGATGCCTTAACTGCCTCGGCTATCTGGCCAGCTCTAGCCTGATATTAGAACATGTAATCTCAAACATACAAAATATAAATTATTTATATTTTTTTGTGTAACCTAACAAAACATAATAACTTGAAAATAAAGTTTTGCAAAATTTTCACCTATTATTTTAGAATAATTGTCTTTAAAACAGAATAATTCTGTTATATTCAGTTGAAGATTTGTTTCATAATTTTAAAATTCTTCAATTCTTCAATAGAAGCTTTTTTCCATACTGTAGTTATTTTTGATCAAGCTTCTTGATCAAAAATAACTACAGTATGGAAACCTTGATAAAAATTTGGCAGTGTCTTCTCAAAATAAACTAAAGCAGGTCTTTCTTCTTAAAATATTGATTGATCAAGAAGCTTGATCAAAAATAACTACAGTATGGAAACCTTGATAAAAATTTGGCAGTGTCTTCTCAAAATAAACTAAAGCAGGTCTTTCTTCTTAAAATATTGATTGATCAAGAAGCTTGATCAAAAATAACTACAGTAGAGCATCGATTATCCGACTCAATTGGAGACTGGGGTTGGTCGGATAACTGAAAAAACGGATAACCGAAAAATATGAAAAAATAAATCATTAGTATAGTATATTAGTATATCCCATGTAATTAGTATATTGCTATTAACCTACTTCGCGTTGAATTTTCATCGATGTTAAGCCTAACAAAAATTTTTTAAAATAATAATTGTTGCTATTGTATCGTTAAAAATTAGAAAATTAAACCTCATTTAAATACTGGCTCCCTTTCATGGTCGAGCCAGTGTTGCCAGCTAAAACACGTAAAAATAATATTAAAGTAGCCAAGACATAGCTGAATATTGTTGTGCCACATCACTAGCGGGCATTTGAATTTGCCTACTAGAACGCGGTTGGTTAACCAAGGTGATAGTTAATTGGGGGTCGGATAATCAATGCTCTACTGTATTACTAAAAATTCTGTTAAAATTTATTTAAAATTCAAAATACAGTATAATTTTAATTCTTCAGTCTAATTTTAAAAAGTAAATGAAATATTTAGTACATACAAAATAAAACTGCTAAATGTGACGATTTCTGAACCAAAGCTTCTAAGGCATTTGCTGTTACATCTTCAATTAAATCATCATCATCCCCTATATCTTGAAATTCAAATAACCACTGCAAAACCTCTTCTTCATTCATAAGATCTCCTGTATTAAAGTGAACAAAACAAAACATATAAAAAGATTGTACTTCGATAAATATTTCGAAAAATATAATAATTATATTGCAAAAAATTGAAGGGTCCAATTGCTCATATTAATAAGAATTCAAGTCTTTTCTTTCTTTTTAAGAAATTAGTAAATTTTCTCATTTTCTTATAAAAATTTAAGAATTTATTTTAAATAAAGGAAATCAAACTCAGATAGTTCAAAGTCCCGTTAGTTCATAACTGTATTTTTGTACCAGCCAGGGATATAGATATATACATGTTAAGCAAATCAGTTAGTTCAAAATATGGCTACTTTGAAATTGGAAGTGAAAATTCTGTCTAAACCATAATATGAGTATGTTAACTCATTTGTTTAGATCAAAGTGCCTCCATACAATAAGAGAACAATAAACTTAGAACAACTCTAATCTGGTCAATATGGCTTCGCTTGTACAGTAATACATTTTTGGGTCTCATCTTACTCAAGAACTACCCTTTTTACTCTTATCTGATAAAATACGGCTGGTTCTTGGGATTGCAAAATTAAGCAACAATTGGGTAGCAGATTGAGATTTGTAGGGCCTAGGCTACTACGTTTTTGGGCAACTTACTACTTTTTGGGGTAACTTTAAAAATAATTCAGGCTACATTTCTATGAATTCTGCTTTATTTTTCACAAAACCTATCTGGTGACCTGTGAGGTTCTCACCAGACATGTGCTGTTTACCTGCAGTTTATTTATATTATTATTATAAATTATTAATTAATGAAAATAGTGTTCTGTATACTTAGCCGTACTCCATTTACTTAATAAATTACTAATACAACAGATAAATGGTATTTGGCATTGTGTGCAGAAATATGGAAATCTTGGATAATTCAAAATCGAAATTATTTTGTCCCTTGAATTTCAGACTAACGAGGATTTTCTGTATAATCATTTTGTTGAATAGCCTCTGAAGATGAGATCTTTGTGTCCAAAATTTTTTTCTGTTGATAATAATTCCAAAACAAGCAATTTCATTCAACTTTCTCTATGACCTTGAAATCTATTTTGTTAAATATATCACTTATGCATTTACAGATGGAGACTAGGATACCTTATAAGTAAGTATATATAGTAAGTATAAATCATACACGACTACTTTGATCCATTTCAAAGTCATGCTGATCCAAACAGTGGCAGGCTTGATAGAGACACCACACCACAGCCGTTTATTTGTTAGAAAAATAAAAATACAAAGGACATATAACACAAATCATTGCCACAGACAGGTGAGAAATTTAACATATTTACATAATATTATTTTTAAAAAATTATTTAAAGATAATAAGATTACAACTGAAAAAAAATGCAATCATCACAGAATAAAACAAACTATTTTAAAGTATTTAAACAATCTTACATAACAAGAATAAAACTTATAAAAATTGTTGTAATTTTTTTTTTAATATTAAAAAATTATTTTACCTTGATAAAGTATTGGGATTTTCTTCCTGTAATAAACAAGAGAAGGTAAATCATCTAAGCCATACTCTTCTGCAAGATCTTCATCAGAAATTTTTACAAAACCAATATCGTGACCATCAGCTTCATCATCAATGTTTTCAAGTTCATGCAATACCGCAACACATTTCTCACAATCATCCTTATCTACAAATAGTTTCCATAACATCTTAAGTTTGTATTTTTTTTAAAATATAGATAATAAGATGTTAAACATTATTTAAATAGATAATTTGTAAAAAGGTCTAAGTAAAACAATTTAATTTAAAAGTTTTCACTAAAATTTTAAGAAAGTAATTATAATATTTTTAGTTGATTTCAGAAACCAAATTCATCTAGTAAATATTAACTAGATGAATTTGGTTAACTAGATTTTTCTGCATCCATTTTCCAGGTACAATGTTTAAAAGAAACATTATACCATGAATAAAGTACAACAGTATCTGAAAATCTTGGATAAATAAATTTAGTTCTTAAAAGCAGTTTTACACAGTATTTCTTATTTGTTAATAATATAAAATTTTAAAAAATAATTATAAATAGATCATTACTTTTAAAATGCCATTCAACATTTACTTAATTTTCCATGTAAAGCCAAACCTAACAGATATTTAATAAACAAATGATATAGCTAAATTCTTATAATATACCATTGGATCATCAGACTTTGAACTATGATATACAATCAGACATCAATTAATCATAATGTAGCCCATCAAAAACCTGACTATATCATTTGATACCTTCAATATTGATATCACACACCATCCAGAGAGAAAGTGTAAGAAACAAATAACAGAAATTAAATTAAAAATTAAACAGTTTGCAAAAGGACAAAGAAACAAAAAGGCTTTCATTAATATTATTTACTATGAAATCGCTGAAAGGGTTTTTCATTACAATTAAACATTGAAATTTCAATGAAAATACTTTAAGGGAATTAATACAACTGAAATAAAAACAAGAAAAAACAAGTCATACTTTGAGTGCTTTTAGGTATAACATCATCATCAGAAAAATGGCTTTATCAAATATGACTGTGTAGAAATGTAACATTGTTGCTCAAGATTACAAAATCTTGAAATCAATGCATAATATAAATAACAAATAATAGAAAAAGGCAGAAAATTTAAATTATTAATTTTTTTCATATTTGTTGTTTCCATTTTACTAACTCCTATACAGCATTTTCATTAAAATTTTATTTAAAAGGAGTTTTCTCTTTTGTGAATCACTAAAAACAAAATTAAATCTGTAACTGCTGTTTTGCTATTTAATTTTTGTAATACTGACCTTCATTAATTAAAAAAAATTCAATATTAAATTTTTTAAATAATTTTTTTTTAATATTTAGCTTTAAAAGTTGAATTTAAAAGTTGATAAATAAAATATTATGTACGTTTTATCATTTCTAATAAATAATAAATATTAAAATACATAAAAATAGGTTGCTTTGTGTCAAAGAAAAAAATCACTATAATTCATTTTACTGGAAGAAAACTTATCTGCAATAGAATGCCTAACTTAAAATCTCAGAACAGAACAAAGAAACATTAAATAAAATTACAATCAATAAATTTATCTTAAATTTATATATAAAAGGACAAAATTAATGTTATGTAAAAATTTTTGACAAAATATACAAACTTAAGATAACCATGTATGCCATATTTCCTTAATTAAACCTTTGGGAGGTTTATCTTTAAAACATACGTATCTTCTGGGGTTTATTTTTATACTTTATTTGAAGTTCTAGGGTTTTTTTGAGGTGGGTTTATCATCTTACAACATGAGACAAGTGAGTAAAAATTGAAAGAAGTATTTTATGTTTGTTTTATACTGTAATATTGTAAGTTTTCAGAACTATCGAAACAGTTAATTTATTANTACAAGTATGTACTGTATTTACAGTACATGCATTCGTAAATTTAGATTACTTTTTTTTGTACTATATTAAAAACTAAAATTTATTTGTTTGTAAGCTTAAAATAGATTTTTATTAACCATATATTATTAAAAATGCATTAATAAATAAAATACAGAACAGGGAATGGTAATTTACGGTTTAGCCTAGTGATAAGTAGATTCGGAGACAAGTAAATTTGACTTGCGTCGTTTTCCTGGAACCAATTACCGACGTAAGGCGAGGTATACCTGTATACTTTATTTATAATTCAAAAAATACTTTTATATAGTATCAAAATATATAATTGGAATAAAATAAATTTTATTTCAAGAATATTTTATATTTTACACAATATTTTAAAACCATAGTGATCATCCGCAACACAAAGTTAAACTATATGCATCTCAAATATTACACAAATTGAATGAATCTAAAATTAAAAAAACTTTTTTTTTAAATGTAAGCTAGTGTATTGTGCTAGTAACTAGTATATTTAGCTAGTATATAGTACGAAATTAACTTCAAAAAAACACTTTAAAATCAAACTAAACCTAAATTTCAGAGATAAAAAATAAAGTCTAAAAATTATTAAAAATTATTAAAATTCAAAACAAAAATTTATGATTAATATAATTTCAAAAACAAAAAAGTTAAATATGACAATTTTAAAACATATTTTTCATCAAAAATAAATATTTTAAAATGAATTAAATTAATTAAGGAAATTTTATATTTAGTTTTTTTCAAATCAGAAGAAAAGGATAAGAATATTTAAACAAATGTTTTTGAGAAATTTATCTCAAAAATGTTCCTCCAATACTAATACTTAGACTTCTTCAGCTAAGGAGTTAACTACAACTTTAAATAATAAAAATGAGTCACACTTTTTTTTTTAATTCTTTCTTAACTAAAAAAATAAATATAAGTAAAATGAGCTTATCTTGAATTTTATTTAAGAGAAATCCATTTTATCTAGACTTTTATTTACTAGTCTATATAACCATTCACATAAATAAAATACAAATAGAGGATTTTAAGTATTAATGCTGCTCTCTCAATTACTGATTGAGAGAGCAGCATTAATTTGTTAAAAAAAAGATTGATTTATGTTAAAACTGATGAATCATATCCAAATTTACTGAAACAGTTCTGCATTTTTTACATTTCCAAAACTTTGGAAATAGCCCAGCTATTCTATAAACTGATAAATGCAAAAATAATTTTAAAAAATAAATTCTGAAAATGTNAAAGTTTTCACTAAAATTTTAAGAAAGTAATTATAATATTTTTAGTTGATTTCAGAAACCAAATTCATCTAGTAAATATTAACTAGATGAATTTGGTTAACTAGATTTTTCTGCATCCATTTTCCAGGTACAATGTTTAAAAGAAACATTATACCATGAATAAAGTACAACAGTATCTGAAAATCTTGGATAAATAAATTTAGTTCTTAAAAGCAGTTTTACACAGTATTTCTTATTTGTTAATAATATAAAATTTTAAAAAATAATTATAAATAGATCATTACTTTTAAAATGCCATTCAACATTTACTTAATTTTCCATGTAAAGCCAAACCTAACAGATATTTAATAAACAAATGATATAGCTAAATTCTTATAATATACCATTGGATCATCAGACTTTGAACTATGATATACAATCAGACATCAATTAATCATAATGTAGCCCATCAAAAACCTGACTATATCATTTGATACCTTCAATATTGATATCACACACCATCCAGAGAGAAAGTGTAAGAAACAAATAACAGAAATTAAATTAAAAATTAAACAGTTTGCAAAAGGACAAAGAAACAAAAAGGCTTTCATTAATATTATTTACTATGAAATCGCTGAAAGGGTTTTTCATTACAATTAAACATTGAAATTTCAATGAAAATACTTTAAGGGAATTAATACAACTGAAATAAAAACAAGAAAAAACAAGTCATACTTTGAGTGCTTTTAGGTATAACATCATCATCAGAAAAATGGCTTTATCAAATATGACTGTGTAGAAATGTAACATTGTTGCTCAAGATTACAAAATCTTGAAATCAATGCATAATATAAATAACAAATAATAGAAAAAGGCAGAAAATTTAAATTATTAATTTTTTTCATATTTGTTGTTTCCATTTTACTAACTCCTATACAGCATTTTCATTAAAATTTTATTTAAAAGGAGTTTTCTCTTTTGTGAATCACTAAAAACAAAATTAAATCTGTAACTGCTGTTTTGCTATTTAATTTTTGTAATACTGACCTTCATTAATTAAAAAAAATTCAATATTAAATTTTTTAAATAATTTTTTTTTAATATTTAGCTTTAAAAGTTGAATTTAAAAGTTGATAAATAAAATATTATGTACGTTTTATCATTTCTAATAAATAATAAATATTAAAATACATAAAAATAGGTTGCTTTGTGTCAAAGAAAAAAATCACTATAATTCATTTTACTGGAAGAAAACTTATCTGCAATAGAATGCCTAACTTAAAATCTCAGAACAGAACAAAGAAACATTAAATAAAATTACAATCAATAAATTTATCTTAAATTTATATATAAAAGGACAAAATTAATGTTATGTAAAAATTTTTGACAAAATATACAAACTTAAGATAACCATGTATGCCATATTTCCTTAATTAAACCTTTGGGAGGTTTATCTTTAAAACATACGTATCTTCTGGGGTTTATTTTTATACTTTATTTGAAGTTCTAGGGTTTTTTTGAGGTGGGTTTATCATCTTACAACATGAGACAAGTGAGTAAAAATTGAAAGAAGTATTTTATGTTTGTTTTATACTGTAATATTGTAAGTTTTCAGAACTATCGAAACAGTTAATTTATTAACTGTATTCTGGGTTACAGCTACATTTAAAATAATTAATGTTTTCATAGTTAATTTTGATTTAGCATACTTCATTATTTCTTGTTTGGTATATTGTACTAAAATATTTTTTCAGCAACATATTAGTGCTGTTTTGCCAAACTTATCACAATGACTTCAATACATTTTAACACTCATTAGAGTATTACAATATATCAAAATAATATTTGATTTAGCATCTTCCAATTTGATTGTTATGTTGTCATCAATGTCTCTTTTGATGTGATAGTCAGAATCAAAATTTTGACTACCATCTTCTGATTCAAACTCATCATCTCCAATTCATATTTTCCTGATTACCTATTGGTTGATGAGCTCTCAACTTATAAACTCAAAC